TCACAGACGCTACCTCGTTCGAAATGCTCGTTGGACCCTTGATTTGTGACTCCGAAAGGATTTCGACGTGGGGCCTGGCTATCGCTTCTTTGTATACCTCAGCCGTATATACTATCGAAAACATTGCTCGACACGATGGAGAAGCCATTCCTCTACGAGCAGGCAAGTCCGGGCTCAAAATGGGTGAAAGAGCGCCGCTAAAGTCAGCCACGCACTTCTTCTCCGCATTAGACGGGGCCTCGTCTCCATGCGCTTCTTGCTGGCTTCTCGCTGGCCTTTTATTGCCGCCCGCTTACAGCCACAAGCCACCCGCTCCGCCCGCGCCGACAAGCCGCAGAGGAAGGTTGGAAAGGCGAAGAGAAAGAACAGTAGTACATATGAAGAAGAGAATTGGATTCTTGAGCAGGGCCCCATATGGTGTTTGACTGATGAGCATTTCATGTCTTATCGTGGCAGCCGTTGCCGCAACGGCTGCGGCTGCGGCTACCGGCCGAACTCCATCGCGATAAATTTCGGACTATTCAAGTCTCTCCGGATATTGCAGTGGATTACCTAAAGGGCTGGGCCCTGCATATGGCCAATCTCTGCGCACCCATGCCGTCCAGCATCGTCCCAGGCTCAACGTCGAATGTAGAGCAGCGATGGCAGGCTCAACAGAAACACCACTTGCACATGCAGAGGGCGTCAAGGTACTCGGCAGCTCAGCCAGGCTGAATGCGACTGAGCGCCGTGATGAGCCACGGACATGATCCCCCAAAGCAACCCAATTGCTCCGAGCGGCCGCTGCCTTTTCTCACGCTATTTACAGACGGCCAAGCCTTGTCTGGCAAACGCAATGTCCCGTGCCTGTTTGACTTGTGGATATCCGAGAGCAGCTATCATCTAGCTGGCGCTCCAGCCTCATCGGACATCAAAGTCGCAGATGACGCTCGTCTCAGCCTCAATGTGATCTGACAAGAGCAAAGGAAAATCAAGGAAATCTCTATCCTCAACCGAGTAGGTAGTATTGCTACTAAGTACTTGGCACCACGTCCTCCATGGATGATCCTTGATAGTCGAGTCGTTCGTCGCTAATGTAAAACATCCCAGGACCAGAATCCCCTCACCACAAGGCGTTTCAGCTCCAAGCAACGACGGCGTACCCCCAGCGGCCGCCAGCAGCAGCGCACAAGCCAGTATGGGGTTGCGGAGCCGCTGGAGGCGCTTGCTCGCCGTATCTCACCGTTCGTCTCCATCTTCTGCCCTATACGTTCGCTTGGTTAGCCATTTAGTCCCAGTGGTCATCTAACTACTGGTGCTAGCGGTAGGTAGAGGTAGGGGGTCCTTCCTACGCATGGCAGTATCGGCCGGTACTCGTCATATCATGATCATCAGCGACGCGCGCGAGCACGGCCCCAGCGGGCACATCAATGGGTCTTGCATTCGGCACGAAATAGCTCGACAGAGGGCCTCAGATCAGCCCCATTCGGGAACCCTTAGTCGGCAGACGGATCAACATGGAGCTTGACTCCGGATCACACAGCCTCCTTGCCTCCCCCCTCCCCTCCATTCTAGTGTGCAAACAGCCTCACGCCAATTTGTCTTGGTTCGACTCTCATGGCAACAGAGAGGAAGCCATCAGCCCGAAAAGCTCGAATCCCTTCAAATCCAGTGACCAAAGGTTCATGTGGCTAGCCGCCACTTCGCCGCCAAGAGGGAGGGGTACTTGTCGTATTGATTCCTCTTTGGGCATGTTTTGGCTGCTCTGCTTCCTTCATCCGGGAATCGCACAAGGCTGGCAGGTGACACTTGGCCTGTAGGTAGTTGTTGTGTGCATGATGTGATGGTTCGCCTAGAGAGAAACTGGAATACCTTGACACCAACACCCAGACTTGTCATTAAAGACAGAGGCCCTAAACGGCAATTTCTCGTTTTTGGCAAAGAGCAGCCCGTCTGAGGCGACCTGAACGGTGGAAGGATGATTATAGTAGGTAATAGTAATCGTCATGTTCTTCTTTCTGTCATGTCGGTGCCGTAGCAGCGCACTCGTCACTCGGATCCTTTGAGGTCTCGTATAGGGATACAATATATCCAGCGCCTGTGCCGTTGTCAGTGTGATATGACGGCGTTTTCTGACAAGAAGCCATCACCATCGCTCATTGGGCCAGCTCTGGCGATGGGGCCACGGGCAAAACAGGCCATGGGCATGCACGCCACGCTTTGCTCTCTGCTCTTCTCCACCACGTTAGCTTGGACCTGCGTCTGCAGGCTGCACGTCCGGCAGAAAGCAGCATAGCGCCTGTTGCCGTGAGAAATAAAAGAGAGGGCGATGGTCGCATCGCATCGCATCGCATCGCATCGAGCCGCATGGCATGGGATGGCACGGCTTGATAGGCAGGATCCACGTCCAGCGCACACGTACATGTATGCTCGAGGTTGTCGTCCCCCCTCTCCCCTATTACACACATCAGAACCCCCCCGGTCCAAGGGCCAATGGAGGGCGAGCGTCGGGGAATTGCGCATCTCAGGCGGTCCAGAACCATGCAATGCAAGGTACGGGCCATCAACTGGCCATTCGCTGCGATTCACCCGTGCCAGCGACGACGAAAGGCCTCTGTGGTGGCTCCAGTGCCGTGCCGTAGAGTAAAGAAAGAGGAAGAGAAGTGAAGCCCACTGGCCCAGTGACTTGCAGCTACTTGTGGTACTTGCGCAATTGATCAGCACGCCTCGTTCCGCACCCCACCTTCCCACCTCAGCCTTTTTCTTGCTCGCACGCCCCTCCTTAATTCATCTGGATCGCATTTTCTGCCTGCCAGTCGTCAATTTGAACCTCACGCAGGCAAACGGGCAAAGCGCTGCCGCAGACGCACCTCTTGACGCAAGCCACCTGGAGGCTTTGCAGCGCCCGATTAATTGCTCAATTGACCCCCCTTTTCTGTCTTGTCGCCTTTTTGTCATCTTTCATCAATACGATGATCCGGAACCCAGCGTGCTCCGTATCGTGATCGTGATCGGGAAAAGGCTCAATCAGCGAAGAGCCCACAAACCACCCCCCCGGCTATTATCTCAGGCCTTCTTTTAGGAGGGAGGGGCGTCGATCAAAAACTGCCATTTTAGCCCAGCAGGCACATCACCTCGAGTCCCACCCGCCGTCGAGCCTTTCTGCTTTGGGTGCCAGATGGACGTCAACTAGCAGCTCTCTTATCGACGCCATAGCCTCGCGTAGTCTTTCACTTACACCACTTCCCCTCCGGCTCTATTCCTACATCAGTATCTAGTATTCTAGCTATTCAAGCTAGATTGCCTCGAGCACTACTGCTAGTACTACCATCACGAGCTCATGAAGATTCGATACGCCATGCCACACCCTTCCACTGGCTTCTCTGTCCTGCATCATCTCATCCATCCATCCCTCCCTATCGAGTACCAAGTCTTGGCCTTCTCGCCAGAAGCGGACTCATCCTCAACCGCCTGACGTGCGTGTGTATCCCTCCCCCAGCGTGTATCCCATGCATATCATCGAGATCTCCGCATCATGCAAGAATTGCATTACCTTACATGGCGTTGCATCTCCCCCTCCATCTCCATCTCCCCCCTCCCCCTTGCCCATAGCTACTATTAATAATGACTGCCTATTTGGCCCGCGCCCTATCAAATCTGCCGCCCTGTACTACCATCACCACCCATTGGTTCATCATCTTTTCTGCCTCCCGTCACATATGCCGTGCAACTCAGCACAAGCCACATTCGCATACGTAGTAACACCTCATTTGACATTTGCCGGTCTGCGCTGCAAACTGCACCTCATAGTTCAGACGCAATAATATCTTGGCTTTGTTTTCTCTCTCGCGCAGTTCCTGTCATCGAATCAAGACGTGTAAAGTGGCATGCTGTCTTTCCCTCCCCCTTTGCTCCTTTTTCAATTGTCATATTACACATCATCTTGGCTGCTCTTTCATCACATTCATAGCTTCTTTCGGTAAGCATGCCCTTGCAGCGGCTCGCTCTTATTGCTCAATTGCTCGTATTCAGTGCTTGGCCCAACTCACCTTGCCTTAAATTACATTGCGTGGCCTGCATGAATGCAGTAAGAGAAAGGGAGAAACAAACGTGTATCCTGTATTCGAGTGCCAAATCACGAGCATGAATTATCAGATGTTCAGCACTTTTCCCGAGGAGCGTGTGGTGTCTCACTTCAGGTGGTGGCAGCCAATGGCAGTACACCGTCTGCCCGAGCACAGCCTTTCGCCAAATATCACCGGGCCAATGAACGTCCAGCCACGAAAAGCAGAAATCGCTGGGTGAGTCAAGTTTCTTTTTCTAAGACACTGCCACGTTTTTGAGATAAAATTACCAATTCTATTACCTAGGTAATCCGTAGACGACAAATTCGTCGTACTAATATCATTCTGAGTGATGTGCTAATCCGGGTGATTTTTTAAATTTTGTAAATCCCGTCCTGTACCCGTCCCGTTCCGTTCCATTGACAATTTAGAGAAAAACAAACAAAGAGCCAAAAAAAAGGGCAGTCTAAAGCAATCAACGCCTGATGGGTCAAATAGAACGCCACCTGTTGTCAAAGCCATAACAGTCCCGGGAATGCACTGTTGAGCAGGGAATCGTGTGCCCAAATCAACGCCAATACATTGCCCTAGAAATCAACCAAAATTCCATGCGTTCCATCCATTCCATCCTATTCCGTCCCATATGTCCATGTGCAGCAGAGCCCATTATTCTGCTGCTGTTAGATACCACCGTAGTGCAATTTGTTGTTTCCACCCCGCCCTAAACGGCCCAATAAAAATCGTAATCGGGCAGACCTTTTTTTTGATCATGCCCTAAAATTCATGACATGGTACCAAACCCAGTATCCCATGAAAAAATATCATTTCTCGTAGCTCACGTAAAACCAAATCCCAGCTAGATGAGTGTCTCTAGGTGGTTGGCCTCTTTTTTTGTGTATGTAAAGATCCTCCCCCAAAAAAAGGAGGAAAAAGGGGGGGATAATTGATCATGACTCATTACTGAGAAGCGTTACTGAAGTGCATCGACTGTGGTTGTTCATGGCCATTCTGTATGCCAGCGACTTCATGTTTTTCGGGGTATGAAGTGCCCGACTCGTAGGTAGCGAATCCGTGCTTTTCCCATGCCGAATCTTGCTCGGTCCGCGTCGACGTCAGTCCTCCCTTTTGACGGACGTTAAAGCGGATGAGCGACTTAGCACCACGAGGAGTCGTCAATACCTTAGATGGTGATGGCGCCGGCGCGAGCCGCTGCGCATCATTTGCATCGCCGTCAGCTCGGCTGCCCCACGACGTCTAAATAACGAGCCTGTTAGCACCAATTGATGATGGAGAGCCAGAATGTAAAAAAAGAAAAAGAAAAAGAAAAAAAACTTACCATGTTAAGAGTAATGAGGGCATAGAGCTTGATCAGACCATGGAAATATCCAAAGACAATGGAGACGGGAACAAAGAGGACATCGCTCGGGTTTCGCAACAAAAGTCCCATGAGCTTGACAAACTTGGTGAAGCCAAACATGAAGATGAACTGGGCCCAGAAGGCGTAGTGTCGGTACTGGACATGCCACTCAGCCGTCGCCCACCAGCACGAGGCAAGCAGAAGCGGGTCGACGACAAAGGCCAGAGAGGTAAAGGTCGCGAAGTGGAGGGCGTAGGTGCACCAAGGCTGTTGTCTGCAGTTCCAAGTCATTTTCGTTAGTACGCTCGCGCTATTTTAGACACCCCGACTAGGCCATGAACCCCGATTTTAAGGCGCAACTTACCTCCACACGTGCCGCTCCTTGACCAGGCTGGTCCAGTTGCTTCGCCAATTGCTACGCGCCCAGCGGGAGCACTGATACAGGAACTTGGGGCCATTCTCCAGAGTGGTTTCAATCTCGCATTCGCGCTCATACTGGATCCAGGTCTTCCACTGGTGGCTCACCAACCATCGCGTGACAAAGTTATCGTCGTCAGCATTCAAGATCCACTTTCTCCACTTTTCGGTTTTGAAGCCGTCGAGGAAGTCATGGCTCTTGAGGATTTCCGATCGGTAGGCCCCAGTGCGGCCAGACATGCAGGAGGTGCCGCCGTCCATGTTGTGAGTAGCCGATATCTCAAAGTTGCGGCGCTCAATGTATGCCGCTCCGAGCCAGTTCCAAATGCGAACCGACCACGGGGCCGTCCACTCGCGCTTCACTCGCTGGCAGGTGCCGACGCCGCCGATCTTGGGATCTTCAAAGGGGGCGAGAATCCAGGGCATCAGGGTAGCGGGCCAGGCCACATCGTCGTCAGCCATGATGGTGATGGGAGTCTCCACGGTAGGCAGAGCCTCGCAGACCTGGAGTCGCTTGTTGGCAATGTGAGTGTTCATGACACGGACCCGGGGGTAGTTGAGGGACCTGGCCAGCTTGTCAAGAGCCTTGCGTTTGTCGTGCGTTGTGACCAGAATCAGCTCGGCCGGCTTGCAGGCCAGGATGCTCTGAAGCGAAGGTCGAAGCTCCTCAAACGCATTATGAATAGTAGGAATAATAACCGTGACGTCGTCGTGGGTAAAGAGTGGCTTGCTAGGGATCGGCTTCGATTTGTAGGTCCAATGGCTGACGCAGTGAACAAGCAGCCGGACATATCGATGGAGCCTATCATGATACGTTAGTTTGATATCAAGAGCCGCAGATCCAATTCGAGAGGCGAGGCAAAGCAACTTACCACAGAATCCAAAAGACGTATGTCCAGAATGTGGCGGACTGCCAAAAACCAGGCTCGACGACAGGCAATCTGAAGGGGACCAGGGGCATCATTTTGGCCGGCAGTTCACTAAGAAACTTGTCCATGGTGTCCATGGTGTGGGGCTGTTGGGATTGCTGGAATAAGATTTTTCTTCACGAAGTAGACCAAAAGGATGTTTAGGCTTTCATGAGGTGTCCCTTTCTCGATTGCAGGTCGTAGAGGTGAGAGATTGGTGATCACAAGCAGAGGATGAAGCCGGGCTGAAGTATCCAGCACTGGGCAGAAAAATTCTCTCCGGCTACCTGCAGCTCTCACGGTGCAGTGAATGAGGAAGAACAAGATCGAACAAGGAACCCTCTTGCAGCGAGCTGGTTAATAGCTCCAATTGAAGCTGAGACCCCGGAATTTCTTTCCGTCTGCCTCCACCGCCTGTGTGAGGCGAGTTCCCGTAGCCACGAAGAAGCGAGTGAATGCTCTAACCCAAATCGGGTCTTTCAAGACAGGGCAGTAAAAAGCAAAGAGGTCAATTGGCGAGATTTAGACCCCGAATACGCTGCAAAAGAACAAGGAAGGAACCAAAGATGGCGTATATGTACAACCTGCCCGTTATAAGGCAAGTACGAGAGGTGGGAGAAGGCTGACAAGAGGAGGGCACAAAAGAGCAGCAAAACAACACAAAGACAAGCGAACGGGAAGAGACGCTAGACGAGGGCTCTAGGAGTCAGACTCGAGCATGGCGGAGTCCAAACAGCCTGGGAGGTGTTATTAATTAGAGGAGAGGAGGAGGAAGAGGTCGTGAGGGAGGAGAGAGCAGCATGGCAGCCACGTTGAACGATGGGGAACGTCTCGACGACAGTTATATAGGTAGCAAAGGACGATAGGACGATGCGATGCTAACCCGGCCATGGCCGGGCCGGCGCCATCAAGCAAGCTTCCGATATAGCCCAGGCCAATGCCATGCATGAGCATGGAGACGATGGAGCCAGGAGGGTCTGGCCAAGATGCCTGTGAAGCCAGATAGTAGATGCATGCTAACAAGATGAGGAGGATGAAATTAGCAACCTCGCTGTGCTCAGAGCCACGTACCAATGGCAGGGACAAGTACGCACCAAGTACCGCCGCGCAGACGAGGCCAGCGCTGCTAGCTCGAGTAGCTGCTGGGTAGCCTCCATCGCCCATTTCCCCTACAGGGCATTTGCCAGTACCTATCGACGGCGCCAAAGGGTGGGACCGCACTGGTCTTTAGCGGGGGGCTTCGGGGAGGGGTGGGGGGTAGGGGGTAGGAGGCGGCTCGCACTGGAGGAGACTGGAAGAGGGGAGGGGAGTGGCTGTATTCCTGCAATTCACGGCCATGTTGCTGCTTGTACCGCCTTGTTTTGGGGCTAGCTGGCGACTTTGTAGCACAGCTGCCCAGTGCTCTCTGCAAAATACTACAGGTCAACAACCTCTGCGACTTTGCAACTCCACAGCCACCACCGACCCCGAACCCGGCGGGCCTTTCTTCTTCTTGCTCTCTCTCGACTGTTGTCTTCGCTGCCTGTGCAAAGCGCAAGGAGCCGTCATGGAAACGAGACCATTCCATTCTCATCGTCGCCCGCACGACACGCTAAAGGAGCATCCAGACGGCGCGCTCGTCGCAGTAGTCGGCTTGCGATAGGCTCTCCAGCCTAGATACTGCTAGCACGGCGGCCTATATTCTGTAATACTACTTCGTATGAGCTCGCCTAGTGTTTAGCGAGGCCATAATACATGCGCCATTGGTGGCGTGAGCTCTTTGTTTGGCCACTCGACGCTCGCTACTTGCTGGAGTCAGTCCTCCCTTGGCGCCGGTCAGCTGTGACTTTGTGACTGACTCTTCTCAGGGCTGGAGATTGGTGCTTTTTTTTTTCGCCTTCAGCATCCGCCCAGCTGGCCACTCGCAGACGCCGTGTCGTTGCCCAGCGGGCTCGAGAACCGTCGATGGAATGGGGCCGAGGAGGGGTCCTCTGGCCAAGCGAGCGTTTGCGAGCAGTCAAATCGCCGTGGGGCGATGGCGCCAGCAGGCTAGTCCTTTGTAAATGCGGGAGGCGAGGACCAGGGCGAGCAAGCAGACAGCGATTTGGAGATTGAAGCAATAACGGATAAAGACAAGGCGACGAGGCCAGACAGGGTTCGGCGCATCGACCCTCGTACAGGTATGGAGCCTCTTTGTTGCGAGGCCGTCCAGCCCTCCGTGGGTCCCGCTGCGCTGCGCTATGCATTGCGTTGCGTTGCGCTGTGTGCGTTGCGCTGCTCTTATTTGTGCTCTGCACTCTGCACTCTGCACTCTGCCTGCGCTACGACTTTGTTATCATCGAGCCTGTGCTAGTAAGGCTCCGAGAAAGCTTAGAACTTGAGCTTAACTGGTTGCCAGATGCGTACGCGAGCCTGCAAGTGCAGGAACTGGATGGATGGCATTACTAAGTAATGAGCTAGATAATGTCGAGGAGAGCGTGGGAGTGGTGGGTGGACGATGCATCGCCATTCGCAGCCAGAGACAAGACGAAGTTGGTGTTGAGATCCACGATTGCAATGCAAGCTGCGAGTTGTTCGCGGATAGGCAGCTGGTTAAGCACAAAAACCTGCCTATGCCTACCACAGTTTATCCCTTTATGCTGAGAGCTGCTTCGTCACGCACACTATCTTTCAAGTAACATGGACGCAACAATACCGTCGTTTGACCCCTCCGACATCTTACATCTCACAAGTACCTGCAGTACATCTGAGACGGTGGGCAGGGCGCCGGTCTCTCCATGAAGAGCGTACTACTCTGGATGTAGTAAGAGGATCAAGATACATTTTGGGGGCTGCCCAGACCCTTGTTGTTGATGTGCCTGCGCTGCCCATACGATATTCGCATTGGGATGCCTTGCATAGCATTCCGACGTCGCACACACCGTCTAGAAGGCAGATTGAGAGTCAGAGAAGCACAAAGAAGTCTGCCGGCTCCAGCCATTTCACAGCCGCGGTGACCAAGCGCGTCTAACAACTGGCATCTGAAATGCAGGTACTCCTTGCGGTGGACATTATCGTGCCTTGATCTGCCCAATATGGGCCATGTCGCCTGCAATGGCTAAGCCGATATCCATGTCACCATGACAAACAATGGGCCATGTCGATGCTGGTGAGGCCGGAACAAAGGTACGGAGTAGTTGAGCCGGTCGATTCAACCAGATCGACACACGGCTGTATGCCAGCCTTCGACAAGGCACACATACATACTCGTTGTACGTATATGCGTGTACCCCGGTGGATAATGCACGAACACGTAGGTAGGTAGGCGGCTGTTCCATTGTTGGACGATGGCAATGGACGGTCCATATCCTATAGGCTGGACGTCAGAGATGAGCTGTCTGAAGCATGTGGCTGGTTATTTTGGACACGGCTGGCGGGTAGTCCGCGCCACGGGGGTGACGGCGGCAGATCATCGCCGCCGCCAACGGGGCGGCTTGGCCTTAAAAGACTAATTTGACATTACACAGCAGTCGTGTATGTATGGGAGTTGAGATGAAGCATGCGATGCAACGACTCTCGCATATTGGATGCATACTTTTGTCGCTGATAAGACGAAAAGGCGAAAATAGGCAAAAAAAGAAGCAATAAGATAGGCTGAGAAATCTATCGGCTGAGTGTTTGATACGACATATCCTATCATTTGTTGTTCAAGAGGCAATGGTCTACGGAGCACCCTCAGAAACGATCCAAGAAGCCTGAGCGTGCAACGCCCCACCACATTACTACATTAGCAAGGCTGCCAGAGAGCAGAAACCACATTGTTCAATACCCAAATGCAGATCCCGGCAATAGCGAAAGAAGATGAAAGAAGAAGAAAAAGCGGCGGGACAGATTCGGTATCCAAACAGCGTCCTCCACGACATGGCGGGCCAGGAATACCTGGCTGCTAAGTGAAAAGGGGGACCTTGAACCGAGACCATGCCGTGGACCCTTTGCGCAGCACTCCTGGGAGCTGCTTCTAGCGGTGCAAGAAGCATTCGACGACGATGTACAAACGCTTCCTGGATACGTGCACATACTTGGTGCATAAATGACATGTTACCTACCTCTACTGAGCGCCAGTAATCGAGGACAAGGTACCCCCTTACCTGGGTGCTAGCAGTATGGCAATTGAAGCAGTCCAACAAGAATAAGCACCAAGGCCTTCTAGAAGTCGCGATATCTTGCAGGGAAAAGGGCGGTTTGTTGTCGGGGTATCTCGGCCCATGCATTCGGCGGCACAGGGCCAGCATCGAGCAGGCGCTGGTTCAAGGCTGAATGAAGCTTTTCGAGTACAGCTGCGGAAGGCTACATACTCGAGCCGTGCCGTGCCGTGTGCGACGAGTACCTCCCCAGTAGTTCGTGTGGCACATTATGAACAAGACACGATGAGCACTCTGCGCCGACAATACCTGGCTGGTACCTACGACATGCCGGGGCGAGACAGGCGAGAAAGTACCTACTCGCCCTGCTCCAGCAAGCGCGGCGAAATCTCAGGGTCCCTCTCGTCTATCGTGTCTGTACCACCTATTGTTCCGATGCTGTCTCGCTTCTCCCCTGCTTTTCGTCGCGTGGCGTGGCGTGGCCTGGTCCTGGGCCCAAAAAGGGCCCATATGGTATTGCTTGTTTGTGTATTTGTCAATTTGCCACAGGCAAGTTAAAGGTAAACCTCTTACCTCAAGCAATGGGGATGCGCACAAGTAACTGTGCAGCCATTGGTACTTTATCCTCTGCTCATGAATGCCGTCAACCCCGACCGGGGAACGCCGAAGACAGGATCACTGTTTATAGCTGCCTGCATCCATCAGGCAACGAAATATCTTGTTTGACTTGGAGCAAACATGCAAGGCCGCCAGACCGCTAGCGGAAGACGAGCAAGAAGCACACGAGTGCAGACACTACGAATGCCCTGCAAAGTAGAGCTCCTCACAGGTTGACGGCGACTCCATCAAGCCCCTGCGCGGTCTTTGACCCTGCTCTGTCAAGGCCTTTCTCACTTCTCACTTTGCAAAACAGGCATGCCAGGACCGCAAAGTACAGGCATTCTCACAGAACCTTGCCGTTGCAACACACTACTACAGAGTAACTCGTACGAATAATGCGAGTGCAAGCTTTCGTCACATACTCGTACGAGTGCCGTCACTGATGGAATATGGAGGACCTGCTGCTTATTCTCCGCGGCTTTTTCGAGGGCCAGGATGCACGGGTTGCAAGATCAGCACTACCTGCTGTATCTGTGCCGTGGCTGCGTCTTTGACTCTTCCATTGCCCGTTCTCTGCTTCTGCGAGCAGGCCCCCTTGGCCAGACTCATGCAGTGCTTGCTGGCGGCAGGGGGAGGAAACCCAAAGGGGAGGAGGAGAAAAAAAATAAACAGCTGCTGGGTTCTCTATCCGAACGCAGGTAAATCTCCAACTGATCACCGGTGGGCCGCTATGGAGTAATGAACATAGCTGCTGTTGATTATGTGCTAACACCCGGAACGGGCCACTTGTACGAGTAATTCACCGCGGATGGGGCCTATCTGGGACCATTTCCATCGACGAGATTTGCAGCTTGAGGCTCGAGGCTTGCCTGTGAAGCAAAGGCCTGGCTCCGTATCCCGTGTGCGTGTGCCTGCGCTTGCGGTGCGTTCGATGGCCTGGCCCTGGACCTCTCCAAAGACCCCGGAACCTCGAATCCACAGTTGCACAAGCCAGCCACTAATAACCTTTCCGCCATCCTACCGTCCCCTGAAGCCAAGCCCACTTTGATCTGTCAAAGTCGGCCAATACCCTCACACAATCTCTCAAATGTTACCTTGTGCTCGTGCTGCTACGCTGTGCGTGTACGTCGGACAAGATGCTCGTCGTCCTGCCTCTCTTAGGCCAGGCACACAGCATCTTGTGCTCCGCCCAGCCCTTTACAATCTTACCGCCACCTTGCCTGGTATACTTGTACTGTATGTATACCGCCATGCCAGACATACTTTGTACTTCACCGGCAGCACAAGGCCTGGGCCGCGATCTGCTAGGTGCTGACATGCTGAGCCAGGCTCACCTCGTTGGAAACTTTGATTATACCGAGTTGCTGCGGAGCCGGGGGAGGGGGTTATTTCGGGAGTATTCAAGGACTCAGTGCTTGTTGATGAAAGAGGCAAATAGGCCCGGGCCGGCTCCGTCGATTCACAGGCCTAGACAGCTGGCAGTGATAGGTGTTGCTTTGGTCTTGGCCGCTGTCGCTCTCGCTGCTGCTGTTGGTGCTGGGACACTGGTTTCAGCTCGTATAGACTGCCAGTATAAGTGAACGCTGCTATCTCATGCACCAATGTCTCTCGAGAGCCGACCAGCGGGCGCTGGTTTGCAGATCTGGCTTGTGATTAGCGCTCGTCTCTATTGCAAGTATTGCAAGTTTGGTGCAGCCGAGCTCCATTACAGAATCGTGTCGTCCTCTAACCAAGATGGTATACCTCTACCTAGTATTTGACTCATGGCGAGTACCGGTATACGAGAAGAACTGCCCTATCCACGTCCCACGGCAACGCCTCGGCCCCAAGGTTCCATGGCGGGATGCGATGCTCCGCAGCGCGATGATCGGCCTCCATATCGGATGGCTGGCGGCCTAGATAGGTACTACGGGGTAGACTAAGCGTAGCACAAGTAATCTTGCTGCTAAGGACGTCTCTTTATTACATGTGGCCAGCTCAGGCGTCGCGGAAGCACAGGATGCTCTTCCGCGACGCAGGTCGACCTTTTTGGCAGTCTTGCGATTCTTTATGGATACAAGGTACCGCCGCATGTATACTGCACTGGATCGAGTCCAGAGTTGAAGAAAACGACTGTCAATGATGCGAATTTAGCCATTGCGGGATAAGTGGGCGACCAACCAACAAACCTGCCAGGGGTCTGTCTATCTTCCAACAACATCCCACGTCCTTCTTCAACGCACGCCCAGCTAACGGCAGTTCTCTCGCTGCGATGGAGGGATTTATACGCAAGTGTGTCTCTTGGGTACTTCTTACTTGTACAAGTAAACGCTCAAATGCCAACGAGGGGGGCATGGGAGCTTGCAAAGTGGTAAAAGTAAAAGTACATGTCATGCAATGCGCAGCCAACCGCATAACGGCTAATGAGGTCTTTTAGCAGACTGGCCTTCGGGGGTCTTCCATGCCTGGTCACCACCTTGTTTGTTGTACAAGCATGGCATAATTTTGACCCTTTCACACTGCAGTCGGCAAAAGTCGTTGTGCATGCAAAGGCATCGTTTAAGCAGCTGCGGGCTCGACTGATAGCAGACCCCAGTCCGTCAATGGCACTCTTACTGGACCGTTTGCATGTCCCACTGCGGAGGTCGCCGCTGGCTTACAGCACAAGTGGCATTGCCTGTCGCACACAAGGCAGCATTCTTTTGTACTTGGATATGCAGAGTAATATCATTAGTACTAGTGCTCGACTTGCACGAGCGCGGGATGGTGGACATGCCAACTCCTCAGCCAAAAGCGAGTGTCCACAACCAACGGCCTGGCCCAGGATCAACGTCTCATCGAGTCTCCATCCATTGTTGCCCATTTTGAGAAGCGATGGAATGGCGCCGCATCGAACTTGCTCGCAACTCTGCGCGCCAATCTCGACATTTCTGCAGCCAGAGGAAAGAGCCGTTTCCGCGGACAAGCTCTGCGCGCAGGCACGTCACTAATATTCCCGGCTGAGGATGTGCTGCGAGTGAGGGGCGCTCACGGATCCGACCGCAGGTATGCTAGCGATCTTCCTTGGCCCGTCGATTCAAGCCAAAGCGGCTCCCATCTGGTGTGATTGCTCTCATCACATAAACGGAGTGAGTACCGTTATGGAAGGCGCTTGAAGCTTTCTTCAAGACCACAGCCGTTTGGATCCACGCTGCCCGGGCGTCTCTGGGCCTAGCCGCAAGAAGTCCAAGATGCGAGTCTGAGAAATTGTCTGTTCTACGGAGTTCTGTCTGATGCTTAACGACAGTATTCGTCGCGCGCTTGCGTGGCGTGACCGGAGCAAAGAAGCCCTCTTCCGCTTCGTAGATTGAACCATCACGGCGCTTCTAAACGAGCCCTATGAAGCTCGGACACTATGAGCAATTCACCCGTCGTCATTTCAATTCCTACGAATTGAATGGATGGATTTTACTTGAACGAAGCTAGCCTGCATCTCGGTTCTTTAGACTCAGCACTACAGATATGCAAAAGTCCTGGCCCACAAGCAAATTTCCCTCCGCGAAGCCAGAACCAACAACTGGTATGGGCACAGGTTTTTTGATAGTACCCAGTGGTAGTAACTGAAAGTGAGAAAATTTATACCAAGAACAAGCCGGTATGCGCCCTATCAGCAAACTTGGCCAGAGGAGCCTATTTTTACAAGCCGAAGAAATGGAAAAAAAAAAAAATTTGCTCATTTTCCCAGTATTCGTGTCAGCTCATACGGTGGTGACTGGGTTAATGTCCCAGAAGGCGCAAATATGTTTCGGCGAGTGTCAATTGCTCTTTACGGTAGTATACGTTGGTGATGAGGACGTTGCCCCAATGTTTGTTACTGTCTGGGAAACCGTTTAGGGAATTGCTCTCAACGTGTGCGTTTGTTCGTAATTCCAGCTGCATAACAAGACGAGAATCGTTGGCTTATGCAGTATGACTTGGACATTGTGTGAGCTCTTCTTTGTAAGCTTAGACATGTTAAGCTATGTTGGTCTTAGATGCTCAGGCGATGCTGAATATCTAGTACGTTTAAGGAGATATCTTGACGAGATGTTCATGATTATCTTCATTCATCTTGGTATACTGTAGGAGATAGGGTAGGCTAGCCAACACCACAGCCACACAAAAGACGGTTTCGTTACGCGTATATGTACGGGTAAAAGGCATTGACTTGTTTGTGTCTTTGGGAGAATGAATTTAGTGCTTGCATAAGTGGACGTGCACATTCTCTTTTCTTGACTTGGATAACGTATATGGCCAGATCAACTAGTCGAGACGAGATGATGATGCTGCGCTACACTCGTAGCTGCGGATGCTCGGGAAACGGCTCCTCAAGCCTCTCGGTTCTTTCAAGAAAGGATTGATTGATTGGTTTGAGTGCATGTTTCTCGGTATTCGCCTTTTTGAGCGTTAATTTGGGCGAAGCTTTTGCAGGCAGCCAATGAAGCACAATGTGACAAATCGCCGCGTAACTTTCACCTTGTTTGGCTAGAACGTGTGTTCCATTTCAACAATTTTGGCTTTCGGTTTAGAGAGTGAATAAGTATGGCTTACGGCTGAGATAAACACTTGCATGCATACAATGAATAGCTGTAACAATGGCCCGGGCTGTCTCGAAAAGGGTGACTGGATTCGTTGCTACTTCGAGACAGGGAGTCGGATCTGTATTGTGAGTGGGTGGATGAGCAAGTAGATACAATTGTAGCGATATAATCTTGTGATTGTCATATTGAAATACGTTTAACTATGGCGCAGCCTCATTATTGATAAGAATGCGCGATGGCCGAGCACTTACAGCCGTTCGTTTGTTCTCCCTGTCATATGAGAACTCACATAAGGCGCGAATGGGGCCATTTAAGCTTCTAATATGTAGAAATAGCGTCCTGGCTTATTTAAGCATTGAGACGGCAAAAAAAACTCCGCTTTCAAGTCGGTAGTTACAATCTATAAGCAAGCAAACAGCAATAAACTGTATCCTCATGATACGCGCCACTAAGAGCGACACTTGAACTATCTGAGATCAAGAACATCTGGAGCAAAGAGCCTGGCTTTTGTAAGCTTGGGAAATTATGGTATTGTAACGTGATTTGCGAGAGGCGTTGGGTATAGATGGCTAAAACTGGAGATTTACTTTTCGTGCCTTATATCTTTTGAGTAAATTTGTTTCTAACGTAGCCTTTTTGAAAGTCAACAGAAGGAATAATATTGCTGAGTATGTGGTGCTTTTATGTTGTTTGTAGGACCATGTAGAAGTATCCGTGTAAGTGAGCACCCGATTGCAGACGGGAAGACGGCGACTTGTGGCATGAGTAGAATCTAGCTGAATATTTGCTCTTTCATTGCAAAACTTATAGAGGGACGGCCCATTGTCTTCATAAAGAAACTGGAATGGATTTAGTATAGACATTTTACTTTTATTATTCTCATTGTCAAGCATCGTGCGTTGTGGAATGTGCCTCTGCTTGATGTACCTCTTACTCGACGAGCGGCGTAATTTGGTACTCTACTCAAATACCTTGGTCTGAGTCATTGTGCCGCAGATAGATAGCATCTTTGCCAAATTTATCGTGTATAAAGACAGCTCCTCCTTCCAAAATATCGCCAAAAAAAGACGTCCTCTGCAGTATAATACCGCCGGCTGCCCTCAAGAGCAGCGATCTAAATTTTCTTCCATCATTTCCTATCACCAGGTACATCTATACAAGACGTCCTCAACTGGGAATAAAATATGACATATGACAAGCTGAGAGGATGAGAAAAAGTACCCTCCAAGTACCACACATCCATAAGTACAAACACGGAACATTACCCCTGGTTTTTTACTCTTTTCGGGAGAGGCGTGGAGGAAGCACTCTACCAATGGGAGAATACAGGCAAGTGATGAAGCCACATATACATGTACATCATGCCATGCAGGACCAGGGCAGAGGAAGCCAAGCTACAGAGCCATTTCAGTAAATTGAAAATGATGAATCATGTTTTATCTCCCTGCGAGGCATCACCAGCGGCACAGAGGCATGTAAGAGGTGTGTATGTATGTATGTCCGTATGTGTGTACATGACTCCGATGCGAAGCTAGGAAATGGATAAAAAAGAAATCGAAAAAATCAAGGCACAAAACACACAGGGTCTATTTGTCGGCTCTTTGCAGGATATTTGACGTCGTCGTGCATCCTCGCAGATTCCCTGATGCGGAAAAAGGGTTGCAATTTGCAGATGGAGAAGTGGAGATGGAGAATCAGATCGGAAGGTCGCCTATGGGAGGATGCGGAGAAGGGCGTTCCGAAAGGAGAAATGCACTGTCGATCTACATCTGACTTGCAACGCCGGATGGCGTCATTGATGGTGGTGAGAGAGTTTCGTTTTTGGAGATCGGTGATGGCTGACGACAATGATGGTGGTGGTGGGATTTTTCCCCTTTCTCTCTA